CGCCTGGCTGCAAAGAAGCCTGATCAGGCAACTAGTCCACAAACAGAAGGCGGAAATCGTTTGAGCAAATTATGCACTCGAACGGGCGCACTTAATCCTCGACCAAGTAACCAGTTTTCACCCTTGTCTGACGGTCAACCCATAACGTCTGGAGTAACATTTGAGGACAGCGCAAATTGGTCTGTAAACGATCTGCTCAAACAAACAAAAAGTCCGGGGAGAAAACTACAACGTCTATTAAATTCTGGACAAGATGGATCCTCGTTAAGTGCTCGTGAAAGTCCAGAAAATAGTATGTTCCGACTCTTAGATCCAGAATGTTCGAGTCTGGATTGCGGCAATCCAAGATACACGACTCCGGAAAAATTTTGCACAATATGTCGCTCGGATAAATCTCAAATGGACGATGTGACCACGGCTACCGCACCCGGTGCATTGGCACAGTTGCCAGACAGAAAATCAAATCAAGATGATTGGCTTACTCGTTATTCCGGTGAACGTCGAGTGAGTTTCGCTCTAGATCAGACCAAAAGTTCACGAACTACAAGTCCACCGGTCAAAACTGGATTGTGTCTTGGACAGAGATATGACCCCAGCTCAAAAACGCTTGGTGGTGCAATACCAAGACGCATGGAAAAAATGTTGGACAGTTTAAAGCGATCTACTCTATCAGGTCGACTGAGCCCATCATCTCCGACAAATGAAAAGCGAACAGTGGAGAAACTCAATCCCAACTATGGTAGTCCAGAAAAAAGCCGTTCCAGATTTCGACCAAGGGAACTGGATTGCTGGCGGGGTTCGAGACAGTACCCTAGGTCACTCAGTCCAACCGGAGGGAAAACGTTGACTATGGACCAAACCCAAACCGCGGCGCGGGAGCATTCAGAAACTGCTCCTCCTGACAGGACTGATGAACATGCCAGTAAGGCGATGGCTTATCAAGAAGTAGCTAAAACAAATAAGGAATCCCTGTCGATAACAGGGGATCAGATAACTCAAGAGGACAAAACACAAACTGGCGTAAAGGGAAAAGTATCACCTATCTACTTTCTACACTTTCTTCCCAGAGGTCCATTTTTCAATCGCAAACCAGATACTTTGAGCGAAAAAAACATAGCCAAGTCAGAAAAAGTAAATAAAGCATCCGAAGAATGTGTGTCAAATCAACCGGTTGTGCCTCAGACAAAACCGACGGAAACCGAAGGATCACAAAGTAGCCCAGTCGATCCTTCTAAATGGTGGAACAAGGACCAGGTCCGAAATATTACCAGTCCGAATAGCGTGACCTTGGACCATCACACAGCAGATGATGTTGAAAAATTCTCAAATCCGCCATCCACTGAGACATTAAATTCCATTCTTGAAGGCACAGTAACTCTGGCGAAACAGGCTGTGATTCAACCAGTTGTTTTTGATCATAAAAAGCAAACAATGGATAACGCACAGATGGTTTTCATACCGTCTATTAGTGGTCCAGAAACCCCACAACCAGTCGCTTCAAACATAAAGAACAGTGAACCGAGACAGTTTCGAGAACGTAATCGAGAATCGCTACACGGCGAGCCTTCAAAGCGATCAAAACGTAAGTATAATGATGATCCGTTTGCTGAGAATACTCCACTGGATCAAATCGCACTAGAAAACTGGATGAATGAACTATTGACGGACAGTAAACTCGATAGAAGTCGTATTCAAAAAGTATTTCGTCTAGCAAGAGATGTGCACCAAATAACCAAGGATGATACCGCGTTCAAGCCAGCACAAGCAAGTTTCCGTGAATCCAATCTGAATCGTAATATAGATCGTGTAGTCGAAAAACTACGCCGCAATGCCCTCCAACTGATCGAGCTGGAACAGGCCTTTCGGTTGGCTCGATTACAGGATTCACAGAAAAAGCGAAAGAAATCTACGCGCGGCCGGCATAGAGAATCTGCTCTGGCTCAGCGGGTCGTGCAAAAGACCAATGTGCGGGAGAATGATGCCAAAGCCGTAAACCCAGTTACTGAAGAGCACGGACCGACGGATGAGACCATATACGAGAAACTCTCTAGCAGTTTAGTTGCGACCGATCAGCTGTTAGATTTCTTGCCAGAAAATCTAAAATCATCTCCGAAGCCAAACGTAACACGTGAAGGGAATTATCCTGGTGAACTAACAAAGCAGACAAGACCCCCCAAACCTCGAACTGAGAATGAAATAAAATCAATGAATGCTTTGGAAACTGAACTCAAAACCTTGGCGGAAGAAAAAAATAAATTCTTCGATCAGGGAAAAGAAGCCGAAACGAATGAAAGGAATGAATTGAACGAAATGTTTGGAAAAGGTAGATTGACTGATGTTGAACAAATCAATCGAGAACCAGGCATTTCTGATATGCCTGAACCAAAAGCTCAGTTTGATGTAGCTCTCAACACGCAGATTCCCGATCTTGTTCCCGCCAATCCATTAGATGAAAATGTTAAAGTCAGAGCGATTGAAAACTTGGACAATCTCGATCCTTCATTCGTACAGAATTTGAAACCCATCCTCCAAGATGTCGTGGATATAGCTAAAGGGAAAGAATTGGGGGATTTATCAAACCATACAAAATCAAAGTCACCACAACCAAGCCTTGTGATTGCAGAGGCCAAATCTTTTCCATGTGGAGCTGATAGAAACCCGTGTGGCTGTACACTCGCGAGCTCAAGAAAGCACCTGCACGAAGATCAGCCTAGTCAATACAGTCCTATTGAACAGAATGGTCCAATGTATCATGAACCAACCACCATTCTACCTGTGAAATCATCAGACGGTTTGCGAAACGATTCCTTGACTAACATGGTCGATCACCGTATAATTCCTGAAGAAGTTCCAATTGACGATGTTGAATTCGTTGAAAACAAAATAAGTGGGAGACTTAATCATATTTCTCTAACCTACCAGAATCCTTTGCCAACGGATAAAGAACCCATAAGTCTGGCCGCTTTAAAGCAATTTGATAAGGGTATCCCTGAGAAGCCAGTCAGAAAGGAACATTTTTCAGTTACACCATCGGAAGAATATGAAAGTAAAGGCGAAACCTGTCTTGGACAAAGCGAATCTACCTATGGAATTGAGAACAAAAACATAAAAGCTAATCTGCATGAATGTTACAAAGAACCACGAGAACTTAATGACACACGTGCGACTGATGACACTGCGAAAGCACCATCCATAGAGTTTTCTGCACCCGTGGTTCCCTTCGCATCTGGACCCCAACCAAGTTCAAATTCAAAGTTTAGCTCCAAAATCAATGCAAATATAAAACCGGATTATCGTATAATGGTTCAACCCCAAATGGAAGTAAGCGAGGTAATAAATGAGATGGAAATCAGTCCATTACAGCATGAGCTGGCTAGTATTACGAAATCGGGTAAAGATGAGAACCTGTCACAGTCAAGAAATGTTCCAGCGCTGCCATTAAAGAAACCAAAAGACGGACCAAATGGATTTGATCCTATCGATGTCCGTGTGTCAGTTGCTCCAATAGATAATTTGTCATTACTGAAAAACAATAGAAATGCTGTGTCGAAGCTTTCTGTGCACGCGCAAAAGAAGGTTTTATCACTTGAAAACAGTTCAAAGGATGACATCCGTGCTTTGTTATGTGATTTGCAAAATGCGGAAAAGAGTTCCAAAGGAGAATCTTTAGAAGTTAATCGAGGCTCTACAACTCAATCAGACTTAGATGCTGACGCAAGGACCAGCTTGCGTTATTCCGATGAGGAACAGAGCCCGAAAATTCCAAATACATCAGATAATTTGATTAACAAACATTCTTCATTATACTTGGACACCAAAGAATCTCTAAGTGCTCCAGAAACAATGACAAAAGAAGTTCGCGTAAAGTTTGATAATGAACTGAGTCAAATTAAAAATTATTTTGATGGACAAGATGAAATAATATTGTCTGCAGAGCAAACCCTAACTGGTAGTTCTCCGACAGACACCCGTGAGTCAACACAACAAAATGCACCAATAATGCCCGCATTTTGTTCCGACACTATTGCAACCGATGCGGAATGGATGAAAATGGTGGTAGAAGTAGCACAATGCGATCAACTTTATGCTACCCTTCATCCAGGAGATGTAGAACCCAATATGGATAACGACCAGAATGCAAAACAGTTGTCTCTTTCGCCACATACAACCTCTATGTGGACAGGAACTACAACCTCTAGTGACATCAAACCATCTGACAATCAGCACTTGTTCTCGGTCGATCAAAATCAGATCAATGAATGCGTTTCAAAATTCATGCCGTCGGAGGGACAGATGGAACAAACAGATCTAGAGAAGGGTACGATAGAGGCTAGTATACTTGAGCCATCCAGTGATGTAAATCTAAAAATACCGGGATGTGAAGCCCACATTTTACCAGATGCAAGAGAATCCGTCGAGAATAAACAGACTCAAAAAATTCCGGCTGAACTTTTATTGTCTACTCTCAGCCTTATTCAGTCAGCATCGGAATATAATGAGCTTCCGCAAAACGAGAAAACCTTTACATCCATTGCGGTGGATAAGTCCAATATCGCAACAGATTTCAGTGCAAGTATGTATCCATCAGTTGTTGTTTTGGAACAAGAAGATTCGGTAAAACAACTATCTTCATTCAAAAGAGATCATGATATAGCTGAGGAAGCTATGCAAGTTAATGGAAGTGATATTTTACCTGGCATTGTTGAATCTAATCAGTTTTCACCAAAAAAGTCCGAGAACCCAACGGAGGATGAAACTCGCTATCCTAATCTTTTCTCTTTACCACCGGATAAAGAACAGGTATCAAAGAGGATCACGGATGATACTGTTCCAGTTGGAATATCTGACCTTACACCAGAAGAACCACAGAAAACTGTACCTACCAAAGACACATCGGACGAGACCACCTCTGTGAGGCCGACTGTATGTATCCAGAAGTCATCATCATTAGGTTCTGTTCCATCCCAAACAACAGA